GGAGATTGTGTCCAGTGTCACACCCAAGGCTTCAAGAGTGGGGGAGAAGACTGGTGGTGTGTGCTCAGCGGTACAGGACTGGGGTGGGGGTGGGGCGGGGCTGGGGGAGTGTGCTCGTGTGACACAGAGTCAGGGCAGAGAGGATGGAAGGAGGGAAGGGAAGGCAAGTGGTGACAACTTAATCTCCTTTGGTCTCTGGTCCTCTGTCCTCCCTCCTTCCTAAATTATCCCTTTCACAAGTATCTCAACCCCTTTTATTAGTCATAGGTGACTGCTCCTTGGTCTCCTAGTAGATAGAAGATGGGGTGAGAAGGGGAATTTTGTGCCATTTTCTAAGTCCAAGTCATCCAAGCCCCAGGACATCCTCTGTCCCCAGAGCCCAACTCCTCGTGCATGTTAGTCCCTGGGGGCAGGAAGGAGGCCATTTCTTAATTCTTCAGGACAGTCCCTCTTCCTGGAAGACAGTGGTGTGCAATGTGGAGGCTCAGAAAACCCTTTGTCAAGAGGAATTAAATCTGTTATCAACTCCTTCTTACTGATTTGCATTAGGACCTTGTTTTGGTTTTCTTTTGAGAAAGCAGCAAAATTATGCCCCATAAATTGATTTTCATCTTTGTCAGCAATTTACTTAGCACAGGTTCACTATGGGGATTATAATAATTTCACAAGCCAATAGCACACAGGATAATATCTCTTAATAAGCAAAATGAAGAAATGACATACTCTAAACTAACGACAGATTAATCACACTATTATCCCAGGCCAGGAGAGAAGAAGGAATAGAGTCCAAATGTAATACGAAGTTGTACGTTTTAATATGAGGAGTCCCTCGGGAGGGACTGAGACCAACTGAGAGCTGCCAGTCCAAAAGTAAAAATCCCCTGTTGCTGGAGCACATCGTTAGGGAACAAAGACGCTGGCATCGATCGGCAGGCAGGCTGGCTTCCTTCGTGGAGTCGCTGTGAGGCTTTTCAGCCACTGCCCATAAGAGAGCGGCCCTTACCATGGCAGGAGTTAATGCCCCAAGGGTCTCCAGAGAATTTTTAGCTTAGGAGAGAGTTGCCTCACCCAAACAGAAACTCTCAGATAGTCCTCACAAACTCTCAGTATTTATAGTCAAAATGTCCCCTTGCCATAGTTTCTTCTCCACAAGTTCATGTCCATAAGCCCCTGGCGGGGCCCCACAGCAGCTGAGTGCTTATCAAGGACAACTGATGAGATGATGGCATCCTAAAACAACTTTATTCTTATATCAAAACAACCTTACTTCTGAAAACAACTTTTTTTTAATCTTTGTCGTAAACCGGTAGATTAAAACAACTTCACTTAAGTTATAAACAAGTGAATTTGAAATCATATTTAACCAATACACAACAGACTTCTCTCCTCCTATTCCTTCTCCTGCCCGCCCCCCCGTCCCCCATCTCCCAGTCCCCAACCTTTCCTCCTGTCCACGCAGACGCCATCACCCACTGCCAGCACTTTTTTCCTAGTACTGTCAGGCTTTCTTTGCTTATTGATCTCTGAGAAGACCAAGTGACTAGCTCCTTGATAAGGGCAATCGTGGAAGCCCCCCACCCCCTCTAGGGACCTGGACTCCAGGGAGCGCCCTTCGCTTATAGCCAGAGGCAGAGGCCTCTGCCAAGGCACCTGCTATAAAGAAGGAGAAACATCTGCTTGTTTTGTTTACATCTCATCCAGATGTTTGGGTGCCATGTAGACACAGCCTGTGGGCCGTCTGAACGCTGTGACTGGAAACTGAGATGGGAGGCCAAGAAGGAGGGCTTCTGAACGGAGAAAGGATGGGGCTGGGTGGCAGACACTGCCTGAGGATGGGAGGGAGGTGGGAAGGCGAGACATAGAACTGGGGGCGGATCGCAGCCGTGGCAACAACTGGAACAAGATTCTTCATAAACACTGGATCTGTTTACAAAGACATCAGTGTAGGCAAACACTTGCCAAATTGTGATTTTAAAAAGTTGTCCTTTATAGTGCTTCACACTACTTACCAGATGCTGAGTAAGGGCCTACTGTGTGCTCTGCAGGCCCTTCCCAGGCTGTCTGCTGCACCCTTCCAGCTCTCTACAAACCCATGTCCTCTGCTTTGTCACAAAGAAAAGCAGCGTTCCTGAGGCTCTGGTCTAGAAGGCCAATTAACAACGCTGGGCAGTGAGTATAAATCACCACGCTCCCCCTCTTCCTGGGCTCGGGGCTGGAAAGTATCAAAACTGTGCAAATACTTGGGATGTTTCTCTTTATTAGTGATAAAATATTGGACGTCAGCGTGTGCCGTTTCATGCACTGCCTCCGACAGTTGGAGCAGTAATTGTGATGAATAGGGGTCCAGGGGCAGGGCTGTAGGCGTTTAAGAAGGCTCTGTGGATTGAAAATATTAGGATTGATTAAAGGTCAAATACTTTATAAATTTATCAGGGCTGAATACATTCTTCCGAGGTGCGGGCTACCTTTCCAGTCTGTTGAAAAAGAACTCAGTATGGTCCAATGCCCACCCTGCTCCTCCCCTCAGGCTCCGCCACATTTAACCTATAAAGTTGATGAAACCAGCAGACATTTTCCTGTAATTCGTACCCTTTTGCTTCGCCTGCCAGGAGATGAGTTCAGCACAGACAGCTGTGGGCAAGAGTCTGCCCATTTCTCACTAGCGAGAGGAAAGAGAAACATCTCTTGGACAGAGGGATTAAATCAGCTGGGGTGGAAGCCGCTCTGGGCTCTGACATCAGCCATCAGGGCAGAGCCTCCGGGGACCTGTTATCAGAAAGAGCTCTATAACCCACCCAAGGAGCCCTTAGAGTAAAAAGGAGAGTCTCCTTTGATTCTGTCCCTTCTGGAGTGTCTGATTTCCTGTTATTAAATGAAGAGATCTTTATAACTCTTTGCTGCCAGGAAGCTCCGAGTGAAACTCTATGTTGCATCATGGCAACAGCCCTCACCTCCTTCCTTATGATAAGGTCCATTTATTCAACAAATAGGTATTGAGGCAGAAGCCATTCTGGTGCTGGGGATAAAGCAGGCAACAAAATAGAGGAAACGCCCTGCCCCCATGGAGCTTATATTCTAGGGGTGAGCAAGAAAACGAATATAAAAACTTATAAATTATACAGTATATTATTAAATGGTAATAAGTACTAAAGAGAAAACCAAAATAGAGAACAAAAGGAAGTAGGGAGGGCCAGAGGAGGAGACTGACATTTATAAATGCAGGGGAGGGGTAGTGCAGTTATTGGAGGAAAAGTTGCTCTGTAAACATGTTTAATTATGCTGGTACCTGAGTATTTTAGCATTGGCTGTCTATATCCTTTCCTTTTTGGAACTGAGCGTGGCATAAATAAAACCACGTGCAGAAAATGGATGAGGCAGAATAAAACCTACTCAGAGAAAGAGATTTCCAAAATCTTAGACTAATGACTTGCCTTTGCATCACCTGGGGGCGTTGTTAAAACACATTGCCGGACTTCACTCCAGAGCGTCAGATTCAGTTGGGGTCTGAGAATTTGCAATTCTATCAAGTTCTCAGGTGATGTTGATGATGATTCAGGAGCCACATGTTGACAACCACTGCCCTAAAACAACAGAGCATGCTCTAGTTGTTCAGGTGACACTTCCTGGAAGAGGTAAACTTAGAGAAAAGTTTGAGAAGAATAAATACTAATTTTCAACCTCACTCTTTAAAAACAAGGGACAGTAAAAATTAAATCAGCCAGTGGGTGCAGATGGAGGGCCAAACTGCACATAGGTGAGGGAATGGATCTGTTGGTTGAAGCTGAAGCTGACATTTTCCCTTCCTTCCTCGAGCATCCTGGGCAGGGACAGAGAAAGAAGGAGCAAACAGAGACAGAGAGAACACCTGTACTGGGACAGGTGTGCCGGCCATACTTAGGAACAAGAAGGCAGGAGGGGAAAGCTCGAGAAATGTTCTTCCTCCTGGGTTATGATAAACCTCATGAAGCACTCACTGGAGGAGTGAGGGGACACACACATCTTTAAAGGCAGCTTTTCCAAAACTGTACTCCTACCAATAGATGCTCATAGGTATCACCAAAATAGGGTTCTTTCGTCAAATATGTTTAGAACACATTTGATTAAACAAAGTTCTTTACTGAAGGACTTGCTCGGTAAAGGGCTTTTAATATGCAAATTTGTGTTGCAAATTTCCTCAGAGGAGGATCTAGTATTTGATGTTTCTTAAACTTTTTGACCATAGACTATCCTTTACTTTTTCATGGAGAATTTAACGAGACTAGTGTACAGTGGGAATCTCTTTGGAAAACATTGGCTCTTAGGAATCTTCCAATCCACACTGAGGGCGAAAATGAAGACATTCTCACATAGCCAAGATCTTAGAGGACATTTCCAGCATCCTTTGTTCTCTTCTAGATTGGGTTAGAAGGACCTCCAGATGTGCCCAGAATTTGATACCCCTTCTTAGGTCCCCGTGGTTCTAT